CTGGGCCGGCGGGGGCGGGCGCGCCGGGGCTGTGCACGATGAAGCAGAGCATGCAGGGCCCGCGGAAGAAGCAGTCCCGGCTCCGGGGCGCCGCCGGCTGCGGGGGCGCCTTGGCCGGGGTCCGGCGGGGCAGCCTGAGGAGAGGGCGCCGGCGGCGGCACCAGCTGCAACAGCGAGGCCTCTTCTGGCTCGGGCGGTTACGCGGCTCCTTCGAGAGAAGGTGGCCCATATAGAAGGCCCCAAGGCGGGGGACCGGGACGGGAGGGGGGGAGGCCCAGAGAGGCGGGCTCCCGGCAGCGGGGCAGGCCGCTGGCTGGCTCGGCCTCGGGCCCGCGGCGGGGTCGCCCGCCCTGCGCACACACGGGCACACACGCGACGCCGGGGGGTGGGCGTCAGCTGCGGGCCGCCGGGGTGCCCGACGGGGGCTACATGCTTTGCCCAGGGAAGCCGGGAGAACGATGGGCGCGAGCTTGGGGGACGCGAGGGAGGGAGCGAGCGAGCCTGCCGGCCAGGCGACCAGTCCGGGCTCGGCCGGCCGGCTCAGTCAGTCTGCGCGGCGGCGGGGGCAAGGCCGGGTCCGGCTCGGACCATTTTAACTGCGGATCCGCCAGCGGCGCGCGCGCCCGCGACACAGCTCGAAGCCGCAGGAGCGCGCGGCCCGTGCCGGGAGGGGGCGGAGCCGGCGGCGGCGGCGCGCTCGGGGCGGAGACGCCGGCGCCCGGCTGCTCACCCGGGACCGCTGCCAGAGTGGGGCTGCGAGAGGAAGCCGGCCGGCGAGGGCGCGGGGCTCGCGGGGTGCGGCGCTCGCCCCTCCCTGCTGTCGCCCGAGGTTTCTCCGAGGCAGCTGGGCGCACGCCTCTTTTCTGAGGCGGGAGGAGACACTTCCGAGCCAGCTGTGTGACATCCGTTTACACAGCCGCGCTGACGTCTTGAGGTGTAAGTTCAAGAGCTGCCATTGGCCGGGAGCCGCTCGCCTGTTCCCCTCACCTTCCATCCACATCCCCACACCAGGCTCGGAAACCGAGGCCACTTCGGGGCTGCAAAGCGGGTTCAGCCCGAAGCGCTGAATTGGTTCCCAACCCCTCGGGTGGAGTGACAGGTGCGCGGCCCGGGTGATGCCTACCCAGTCGTGCGAGGAGGGGTTGGATGGCTCAGGGGACCCATTCTGTCACTCACTTATTTTCGTACTTGTTGCATATTACTGCCTTTCCACAACTTTATTTGAAAATGAAAGCATATATCGAATTACCTGTACATAGCGGAAAGATAAAGTTTCTCAACCCAGTGAGTCACTCAACGTTTAGGACGCAGCTGTGGATGACTTCATTGTCTGCACACTCAGAATCCTGGTATCCATGCATTATTTGTTTAAACATTATTGAGCAGTGCCTGCTATATGACAAATCTTGGTGACCCAGGTGAGAAAAAGAAAATAGGCTCTGCAGGTAACGTGCCTAAAAAGGGTGGTGACAGCACAGTAACCGCGGTACCTGGCGTGGAGAGGTAGGTTTCACAAGGGGGAAATTGCAGGCGGCAAGTACTGATGGGAATGAGCCAGTAGAAAGGAGGAGAGAGGATGGAATGGATGGCACTTTGGGAATACCGTCTTCATTGTGATTGGAGGGAATGAGGAAAGGATAAAGAGCACAGATGGATTCGGAGAGGTGGACGTTTCTGGCAGGAAGGTGAAAACGTTCCTTTCTGATGGCTTCTACTTTTCTTTCAATGGAGCTTGGTTACCTGCTGAAGGGTGGAAAAGAAGTGTCAGGTGTTTTAACTGCTACTAAGGATAACTGAGCAAGCAGTACTGCAGGATTCAAGGCCCATCTGCTTGGAGACCACCATCTTCAAACATGTTGTCAGACTTTTAATAGGCCTCTGTCAGACATGATTTTTAAGTCTCCACATCCAGGGATCCCCCTTTCTGAGCTCGATTACAATGAAATGGAATTCCAAGACACCTAGAGACAAATATTTGCCAAAGAGTTTCACAGAGCGGTTCACAAATTTACTACCGAACATTCACCTACAGATATTATCTACACAACTTTCATCCATCTACCTGTAGGTTTTTCATTTTGGGTCTGAGAGCTCTGTAGGTGAGTGCCAGGGGTTGCCTGAGACCTAGTAATAGATCCTTTGCCATCTTGACTGGGCTAAACTTTCAGCAGAAGGCAAGAGCATTATGATTTTCTGTGTGTCAAAGATGTGGGCCCATTAGAGCCAGATGTAGCAGAGTGTACCTGTAATCCCAGCTACCCTGGACAATTGCATGAGCCCAGATGTTCAAGACTATAGTGCACTATAATTGTCTTTATGCTTTCCCCTGGAAAGCATAGGGAAACCCCATCTTAAAAAAAAATTATAACGCAATCATTTTTATGTAAGTGAAATACATCTACCCTACAACCCAGAAATCCCACATCTAGGCATTTATACAAGAGGGAAGAAAAGCACATATCCACATAGATTTGTACCAAATGTTAATAGCAACTTTATTCATGAACTGCAAACAGCCCAGATGTCCATCAGTAGAAGAGTGGATTGATACATTGATATACTCATCTATCAAAATTCTACTCACCAATAAAAGAAAACATAGATGAATCTCAAAAGCTTATAAAGATTCATACTCATTGGAGCTTGGGCCCTAGAATGCTCTACCTGATTTTCACAAGCTTTCTATGTGATCGCTGTATTGACAGACTGGCACCATGCAAACCTATCAAAACTACACATGGAATCTATCTCCAATTTACTGCTTTTAGAGATAAAGCAACAGATTCAGATTTTTGAAGTGGTTGCCAAAATTTATAATACTGGTTTTGTGACTCCCAGTCCCTGAGCCATTCAGCCATAAGCAGGTCATCCTTGGTCTTACTGGACTCTGTGCCTCTCTTATGACAAATGATACATGTGTTTTATAGTTAAGAGGTTTTCATGTTTGCTGTCACTACTCATCATCATTATCTCCCAGATTCCTCCAGAAAAACTAAAAATTCCTTGAGTCCTGGGATTGTTCCTAACTCTTCTTTTTCTTTCTTTACCACAGCATGTGGCAGAGTCTTGTATATTTTATCAGTGACTAAGTAAGCAACTGTCTTCAGACCTGTTATAAGTTTGGAACTCATTACTCTAAATAACTAATATTCTAAATGTTCAGGAAATAATTATGAGTAAGAGTTATAAATCTTGATCATAGAGAAAAATTGCAGCAGTTGATGCTTTGTTAGTGAGAGAAAAAAAACGCACCGAACAGCCAGAAGCTGCACTGGCATGCAGTTAGCTAGACCTTGGTGGTGCTGATAACTGGCTTGGCATTCCCAGCTAGGTCTGAGTGTTCCTTTCAACAGAAACAACCTCACAAAACAACAGTCATAACCAGTCTGTGGCCATAGTGAACAAAGCAAAAATAAGACTTCTCCGTAATTATGTTTGAACATAGCAAATACAAGAACATTCTCCAAATCACAGACATGACCGTTCTGTTTAACATGAGTGACTGCTGTTTCTTGACCATTTACACCCCTAGCCTTGATCCATGCTTCCTCTCTTCTAGATAATTAATATTAAAATAGTTAATTATAGAATTAATTGTTTCCTACCAGCATCTAATCCAGAGCAAAACCTTGAAATTTCCCCCAAATCATCTAATACAAGCCCAGTTTTATAATGGTTCTGTACAACACCACCTTAAGAATAGTCCCCATAGTTCCTCATGGCAGGCTCTCTGCTTTCCTGTAACCACTTACTAAACCTAACTTGGTTTGATTATAAGTATGTTCTGGTGATCTTTAGCTGGAGAGCATTAACATTTACATTTCATCCTTTACTCTTTCCTCTTACCCTCCTTTAATTTTTTTATAGCTCATTATCACATTTTTTAATATGTAAGCTACATGAGGTCAGGGGCTTTGTTCAGTTTTCCAGAAGATAATCTGGCTACTGTGTACACTCCAGTAGGAACAAGCTCTTAGCAGGAAAACTGTGTAAGGTTGTCTATGGGGTCAGTGGAGAAGCATTAAAAGTATAAACTGAGGCCTGCAGGGAGATAATGAGATAGATGTGGGATTGAAAAACGTTTCTTATGTGGAATATTCAAGATTTAACGAGTTATTTATGCATTGGGTTAAAGAGGTGGGGATGATGACAGGGAGGAAATGAAGAACCCCATAATAGCTACTTGTATGTTCATATGGTTTATTTTATTGTATAGCTCGTTATGCTATAATATAAAATGCAGGATGTCCCTAAAGTTCATGTGCAATTTAAAATAGTTGTAAATTTTAAACTGCATAGAAACCGTATGGACACCCTGTATATATCTGAATAATATTACAACCTGAGGTAGACTTGAATTGTATTGAGATTCATACTGAAAGCCAGTATACAAACATTTTGAATGTTACAAAGCAGTTTAAAAGCTTTTTTCTTCTTTGCCAACAGAACATGCTAACTCTAATTTTGAGTTTAAAAAAATGCTCATTGTGTCTAATCAGAGAAATGCAATCAAAACTACCTGAGGTACCATCCAACCCCAATGAGAATGGCCCACATCACTACATCTCAAAGCTATAGATTCTGGTGTGGATGTGGAGAGAAGGGAACACTTTTACACTGCTGGTGGGACTGCAAACTAATACCTTTTTGAAAGGAAGTATGGAGAATCTTCAAAAAACTCAAATTAGACCTCCCATTTGATCCTGCAAATGCGTGTGTGTGTGTGTGTGTGTCTTGGGGTGGCATATGAGGAATTGAGACTTCTTCCCAATTCTCATTGTTTGCCAGTATTTTTCCCTGACAATATATTAACTCCCTGTTGTCTTTTAACATTTGTAAAAAACTGATATCTCTAAACATTAATGAACCAAGTCCAATTTGAATAAGATTTGCATCCTTATTGCACTACAAATCAAAGTTGTTCATTGCTGAATTACCAATGGATAACACAACTACAGATGGGGGTAGGTGCCATTTTCATGCACTGAGGGTCTAGAGCAGTGGTTCTCAACCTTCCTAATGCTGCAATGTATTTTCATTGTTAGAAAGGGGTTGCATCCACAGGTTGAGAACTGCTGATCTGGGGGAATTCTATTTCTAACATTAATTAAGTTTTCCATGTCAGCCATAAAAGGATAAATAATACTCTCCCTATCACCAGTACGCCACCCACTTTTATAAATAAAAGAAGAAGGAAAAAGAAAAGAAAGAAAATTCACTTTGGAAGTC